CCTTAAAGTGATCATCATTTAGAGCAGATGAGTAACCTTTCAAATAAGCCAACTGGAACTTGACCCCACTACTGAAGAAACAACTGGTCTGCCTGTGCACTGAGGAGTCACTAACGGGATGTTTAGTTTTGGAGAGGAAGGAAGTCCAAGGGACGGCAAAGAGGACAAGATCACTTCTCCCTCCAGCTTCTCCTACCTCCGCTGCCCTGCCCATGCAGAGTTAACGTTGAAAGAGGAGGCCTCTGCCAGCTTTGTTTCTCATTCTGCACCTTTAAAAAGCCAAACCAACAACCCTATTACTTCTTCCCTCATTCATCCTGATTAATCTGGGATAACAGAAGAAAGTTTCTCATTAGTGATGGCATACATGTCAACAAGTCTGAAAGAGGATGAATCTCTTGCATACACAATTGCCATTCTAACCCTCATTTCTCAAAACCAGTGTAATCGATCCCATAAGACCATCCCTCCACCATGTCCTAGCAGCTCTTCGTTGGCCCCTGCCCTTTCCCCCATTCCCTGGCTTTGGGAGTAAGAAAACCTGGATACAAATCTAGTTCTCCCTCCTGCTAGCTCAGTGACCTTAGGCCAGTTACACTCTACCCCAGGAGGTCTCAGCCTCCTTATTCTCTCAAAGAAGAACCATCCTTGCACTCCCTACCTATTGCAAGGGAAGTCCTTTGTTAACCAGAGATGCAAGGCAGTGTTAGGATTTTCCTAGAATCAGACTCTCAGTTAAAAGGGGTCTAGCCCAGATCCTAACTAAAGACTCTCTTCTGCTTCCCCTAGAGCTCAGGATCTAGAGTCTGCTTGAAAACATCCAGGGAGAGGGAACGCTCTACATCCTTGGGCAGCTCATTTCATTACGGAACGTCTCCTAAGTTTTAAGGATTCTCCCCCTTTTATTTGTCCCCCTGTAGTTTCTACCCCATGGTCCTAGCTCTTTCTCTTAAGTCTGTCATTGGTACCCATATGTGCCTTCTGGTGACACTAAAGATAATAAGAGGCTGCTGATAACTGATATGGAGAATTTCAGGAAGATGCAAGGTGCTATGTAAAGAGCTCGAGCCCAAATCGGATTACTGCCATGGACACTTTTCAGATGGAAGGGAACCACAGGAAAAGAGGGAGGAAGGAAGGGAAGAATGGAGAGAGGGAAGGAGGGAGGAAGGAAGGGAGAGAGGGAGGGAGAGACGAAGGAAAGGACAGAGGGAAACAAGCACTTCAAGCACCTATTCTGTGCGGGCACTGGACTAAACACCTTACAGATATTATCTCATTTGATAATCAAAGCTCAAGTCTTGTACAGCCCTGGCACTGCCACTACATCTGAGGAAAGTAAGTAGTAGTAACCGTAATGCTTTGACACTCTGATGGATGCAGGAACAGAGGTGTGAGTGTTCTCCCACCTGGCACTTCTAGTATCCCTGCTCCTTCTCCCAAACCTTCCCCAGAGGAGGTACCAGAAGCCTCCCTCCTGGGCTGTGGGGCCCAGCTCCCCTGCTTTTCTCGTCCTATGGATCCTCAACATAGATATCCTGCTTATACAGGAGTCCTCCCTGGTAACATGCTGCAGCCTAGACCACATCAACCGCTGGAGTCGCCAACAAATTTGATCCTTCTGAGAGCCCAGGGTTCTAGAATTGCCAAAGCCTATCTGGGAGAACACTAGACAGGCAGCGGCAGGTAGCTCGTGTCCCTTTACCCTTTTTCCAGCAGCCAAGGGCAGCCTAAGATTCTGGTCATGTCGGGGAAACTCTCAATTCTTTTGGAGCTTTTGACTCTTTGAGATCTGTTTTCCCTCTCAGTTCTCTAAATACAATATGCAACACGAACAGAAAATGAGGTTTAGATTTGCTTTTTTCTTTTTCATAGAAATAACTCCCACAAAGGCACTCAAGGTACCAGCCCTGTTTATACTGGCAATCAAGCTAAGGAAATTAATTCAAAGACTCCATAGGGTTCTACGAATACCAGCAGAGTTATTAGCATAGACAGCAATTCGAAAAAGATGTCCCACAGGGCCAACCACAGCTGGGAAATGATTTGTTCTTATGGATAAGATGCCATGTGACACTCATTTTATCCACATGTAAAATGGATTTCTAAGAGCCCGATACTCCCCATCGGTCTCCTTAGGGGACTGTTTCTGTCTCAAACCCTCTAGAAGTGAGCACTTATCCTTGAAGGCAGAAAACTGAGTACACCATAGGACTTTTTTCACCCACACACATGCAAAAAAATAGTCATAATTTTTTTTAACCCAAAACATTTTACAAAAGACATTTTAGGCTCTTTGTGCAACACTTTCAATAATCCCAACATCCCCAGTGATGCAAAAGTTCATCTCCTTAAAAATCAGTATTCTCTCCTGGTAACACTACCATAGCTGCAAATCATGGCCCACCATGATCTCAGAAAGCCAAAGGGCCAAGGGCCACACTGGCAATACGTCACCAATGATACCTTGTACCTAAGCTGTGATGTAAAGGGCCTGCTAGAGACACGTTTATTCATAAAAGGCCAATCGTGTGTTGAAAATGAGGGGATAATGGATGGGCAGCTCCTCTCTTCCCCCCATTAAAGAACAAGAAGAAGGCCCAATGGGTAGACTTGAGAGAAGGACACGGGTCAGATGTGCTGAGGGCACATGGAGCAAGGAACCACAGGGACACGCTCATGATCTCACTGATATACTGGAGCAGTTGAAGGCAAGGAGATATTTTGTTTCTCTTAAATAATGTCACTGAATTTGGAACATTTGTGCAAGTTCCTGAGCACACCAATAAGCCTCTGTTTCAGTGCTGCCTCATCTACCTGAGGTTTGGAGCACACAGAGCCCAGGGCAGCATCATTCAAACACCCGGGCCAGGGCGGGGGCCACGTCCTTCTGGAGCTGTGGGTTTCCTAGCTCATTTTAGAGTTCCCGAGGAAAGTATCACAATCGAGCACTGTCCGGAGTAAAGCAGCTCATTCAGAGCACAGCCCACTCACTTGCTCCAGGCCCAAAATGGGACAGGAAAAATCCAAGTATTTTCAGACGCAGTCAGGGCGTGTGCCTGGCAGCAGGGTCTATTCTTAGGAGCTGTCCTGGGATGTTTCCTTTTGGGGCTGGGATCTGTCCAGTTCTACTCAGGGTCTCCCTGAAAGATCTGAATGTGTAGGAAACTCACTCCAAACGCAGGGTGGCCACATCGATGGCTGCCTTCCTCCAAGAGCTCCATGGTTAGGTCATCCCCCACTGGCAGCGGATAGTTAATGCCTTGCTCTCCCACCCGTGGCTCGGCATAGACCCCAGCAGAAAGAGCCTAGGCTCAGACCTGTGTGACCTCGGCCACTCTCCTCATCTGTAAAAGTGAGCTAACAGCAGCATCAAGAACCTCACAAGGCTGGGAGGAGGAAAGCTCTCCGAGTCAGAGCCATTCACCACTGTCTGCCCCTGATGCTCTACAGAGGGTTTTCTCTGATGCACCTCACAGACTCTACACTTTGTCATTCTGTGGCTGTCTTTTATTAAAGGCCCTTTGGAGTCCTTCTCCATTTCTACAACCCAAGGTTGCCTTCTTGTGAAAGCAGGAGTTACAGCAAGAAGAGATTTCTTCCCAGGATTCCCAACAGCAGCATCAAGGAAGAGCATTAGGCAAGTCAGGGCAACTAAGCCACTAGAATCACTGCCATGAAAATTAACTACCAGCAAGCCATCCTCACCCACTTGCTGTAAATAAAATTCCCCATCTGCGAAACATGAGGGAAGGAAGATGATTATGTGCCACAGTCTGATTATAGCAAGCTTTACAAACAAAGGTTCTGGGTGACACAGAACAGCTGGGCATGATATACCCCACCTTGGGACAGCTCGAACCACAATGCCCATTTTGAGAAGATGTGAGGGTTCACAGAGCATGTCCTTACAGCAAGAAGACGACTAAATGAGACTGAAGCCACAGAGAGACCCCACAAGAACGTACCCCAACTGTCACAGACACACTGACGATGTCCCAGTGTGCATTTCTGCATTCATCATTCGCCATTCTTCAAAAAGCTGGCTGACACGAATGCAATGCCACGCACAACTGGCCCTCTGGACACAGTCCCTGATGGCTACAGTGGTCTTGGCCAGTTGGAAGCTGCCCTGGGTTTCTGCCTGCACTCCCACCTCAAGCTTGTCTACTACCAGATCATACCAGGACAAGCCCCTAAGCACAACAGACCCACTGTTCAACGGGACTGCACGTACCTCCTGACTAACTACCAGGACCCTTCCAGGAGGCTAAAAATAGCTCCCTCCACATGAGCGGTGAGCCTATGGATAAGGACTCTTATTTGAACATGACATATAAGCCAAACTCCTTTCAAGTCACAGGTTAGATAATTCTGGCTGTACTCCACCCAGTCCTCATTTTCTCCATCTGCACATTTTAGAAATGGAGTCGATCCAAGAAATTCCTCAAGCCCCCCCCACCACATTTTTCAGATGAAAAAGGTGGGGCCCAGGGAGGAGGTGTGACTCAGCCAAACTCCCAGAGGGCCAATGAGTGGCAGGACCAGGACGAGGGAGACCCCAGGTGTCCAGTACTTTTCCCACTACACCACATGGCCTCTGTCCCTTAGTAAGGAGCTCAGGGGACACAAGAGTGGTGCACAAGAAGCTCACAGCCTCTGCTGAAGTATCCAGACAGCCTGGCAAGAAAGCCGCTTTCTTATGGGTTCCCTGCTATCCTTGGAAAGTATCCTTGAAAAGACTGCATGGTCTTCAAGCTCAAACTCAGCTCCGAAAAGCTGCTCAATGAAACTATGGCAGAACTAGAGGAAATTTCTAGCAGGAGGAGATGTATAAGCGGCTGATTCTGCAGACTGAATCAGGATTACATCCAAGGGGCTCCAATACATGCAGAGCACTCCTGCTGTGATGTTTACAGAGGAGGAAAAAACCAAGCAACGTTTGTGAAGTAACTCAGGAGAGCTGAAGTTTATTAGAGAAAAGTGCCGAGCTTCCTTACCTTTTCAGATCAACAGTGGTGACACTGAATACCACTCCTTTGAGCCAAAGGATCATGAAGAGCCTCTGGGAGAAGGGACAGTTTCCTATGCTCTCACCATCACTGCCAGCCTGAGAAACACAAGAGACCAAGGTTAGGTCAAAAATTAACACAGGATTAAGGGGAAAGGAGATAGGACATTCAAAGCAACAATGACTCAATTCGACCATTCATTCCAACTCTACCCTGGCACTCAAGACACTGTACTAGGTGTTGAGAAAGATAAAACCCACAGTCTCCGAATTCAGAGGAATCTTAGGGGCTAGCAGCTGGTCCAACCTACACCCGAACAAGGATTATCTCCACAATATATCCTTGTCCTCAAGGAGCTTCTACTTTAATAGAGGGAGGTGAAATGTATGCACAGATAAAGAGAACACAAATTAAAATGTAATTACCATTTAAACGTAATGCAATGTGCCATGAGATCATGAGTCAGAGGAGAGAAAATCTATTGCCAGGTTTTAGGTGGGTGGGGCAGGCATGGAAGATGGTGATAGCTGAGTCGGAAAATACATGTAATGTCAACAGGCAAAGATGGTCAGGGGAGGAGTCTGGGGAGAAGAGGACATCCATGGCTGGTATAAGGAGTAGTATGAACAAAGACATGGAGATGAAAAAGAATGACATTGTGATTCAGGAATCACAAAATCAGAGTTGAGCATAAGTTCTTAGCCTGGGGTCTGTGAACTTGTCTTGTTTTTTGAAAATAGTCTGATGACTTTATTTCAATAGAATTGGTTTTCTTTGTGAATCCTATGTGTTTTATTTTATGCATTAAAAAACATTATTCTGATATGGGGTCCACAGGTTTCACTGGACTGCCAAAATGTTAAAAAAAAAAAAAAAGGCAAAGAACCCCTGAATCAGAGGCAGAAGGGGCACTCGGGAAACATCTAGCCCAACCCTCTCCTTTTATGGATAAGGAAACTGAGGTTTCAAAGGGGTTAAGTGACTAAGAGTCAGAGATAGGATTACAACTTAGGTCTTGGGGCTTAGTTAAAGTAGTATCACACCATTCCAGCTTATGAAAGGGAACAGTGTGGGTTAAGGCAAAGTGGACCCAGATTATGAAAGCCTTGAATACCAGGCTATGAAATAAGAACTCTATCTGGTGACAACAGGGAACCACAGAAGAGTTTTTTTTTTTTTTACTAAGAGAATCACATTCTCATCCTTGAAGATGGTGGAAGATCACTTGCACAGTATTTTTGCAAGGTATATAGGAAAGGAAGAGGAAAAGAAACCAGAAGGAATGGCCTGTGTTATAGAGGTCGAGGTGCTTTGTCTCGTGATTCACAATTTCCTCTCTACAGGGTGTCCAGGTAGGGAACTGTCTCCACTGATGCTGATCAGTTTGCTTCATAGCTTTGTTGGGGAGGGCTGCCTGGGGCCTTCTGCAGAGCCACACAGCCAACGTGTGCCACGGCCCACTTGAACCTTTGTCTTCCTGACTCCACGGCCAGCTTTATCTCCATGAGGCCACACCATGCTGCCTCTTGGTCAGTTTAATCAAGTTTAAGGGAACAGTAGCAAACAGAGAGAAGACAGAGAGGAAGGAAGGGTGGGGAGATCCAGGCCATTCTTCCCGTTCCCCAGTTATGAGAGATGTAAATAAAGAGGGGGACAGCCTAAAAACCAAGTCTGGCCTCTTTGGGCATGCTTTTTATCTCTCTAAGGGCAAGAACTATATTTTTAGGTTTTATGAAGCAGCAATGTAATTGCATTTACCAAATAAAGACCAAGTTATCCATTGTCTTTTTCTTGTGCTAATTGATAACAACAAACAAGAACTCATTTATGCTTTAAGATTTTATAAAGCACCTTCCTCATTATGGGTAGGAGTATTGTTATGCCCCTACCTGAAGGCCTGGCTGCAAGGGTCCTCCCTCCATCATCCCTAGGCTCTGTAGGTGACCTTGGCGAGAGCTGCTGGAGCTGGAAGCTCCACCATCCTGCAGCCTCAACTTAGCTAGGTTGATCCAGGGCCAAATGTCCTGTCCCCTAGTAGGCCCCTACTTGAAGACTTTCCAGTTTGGGAGGAATGGCCAGAGCTTACAATCCACTTGGGATAGGACTTTAGCAGTGTATTATTATCCTCATTTTATTTCCATTTTCAGGCAAGGAAACAGATGCAAAGAGGTTAAGTGACTTTGGTCACACAGCTATTAAGTGTCGGGGCAGGATTTAAATCTGTGTTTAAACACAGTCTCCAGTTTGGAATTCTGGAATTCTTTGTACTACGCCAATGAAGAGGACACCTTTTCAATATAAAATATTTGAGGGGACTGTCACAATAACACTTGTGCTGTTAGTAATCCTTGTGTGAGAAAACACCTACCAACAAAAAGCTACTGTGATAACTGGGCAGGACTTGCTTTCTCCTGCCACAAATCTACTCTAGGTATTCCACGTCTACCTCATTGCTGTAGCGGTGATGGCGGCGGCTCAGCAGGGGGCAGCAGCCCCACGAGAACAGTCACTTCATGTCACAACTGAGTCACAAACTTAGGAGAATTCATGAAGCCTGCTCCACTGTGATTTTTAGGAAATTTCTCTCAAGTTGAGTTGATGGGAAAGAACTGTTCCTTAGCAGATTTCTCGCTCCTTCTAAAGAATGTGCAAATGCAAGCTGTGGGGTATTTATAAATCAGTAACTCCATCTCACTTAACCTCTTTGGAGTTAATCGCTTTTTTCAAGTTTGCCTTCAGTGCAGCCACATGCTTTAAGAATACTCCAACTCATTGCTAAGGATGAATCAAAGTCTCTGGAGAGAAGCTGAACCTCTTAGGGGCACAGGTGGTGTTTTCAACACTGGTTCTGACCAAAGCAAGGGCCACAGAGGAGAAAAGTTGACTAGGAAGTGAATGGCTGGTTAAGGTCTCCTAGCCAAGATGGCTGCCTAGATGGAAGCCACCCAGCTCCCAGAAGCCCAATCCAGCAAAACCCTGAAGTTGGTACCTAATTAAAATGATCAAGAAATCCAATGGCAGTCACTCCCCAAGGATATGATCAGGCAGTTTTGTGATGAAGAAATCAAAACTATATATGATCATATGAAAAAATACCCTAAATCATTATTGTTAAGAGAAATGCAAATTAAAACAACTTTGAGATATCATATCATAACTAACAGATTGGCTAAAATGATAGAAGGGGAAAATGACAAAGTTAGAGGGGATGTGGAAAAGTTGGAACACTAATGCATTGTTGGTGGAGTTGTGAAATGACCCAACCATTTTGGAGAGCAATTTGGAACTATGCCCAAAGGGCTATAAAAATGTGCATACCCTTTGACCCAGCAATAGCACTTCCAGGGCTGTATCCCAAAGAGATCATACAAATGGAAAAAGGACCCACATGTACAAAAATATTTATAGCAGCTCTTTTTGTGGTGGCCAAGAATTGGAAATTGAGGGGATGCCCATCAATTGGGGAATGGCTGAACAAGTTGTAGTATATGAATGTAATGGAATACTATTGTGCTATAAGAAATGATGAGCAGGTGGACTTCAGAAAAACCTGGAAAGACTTGTATGGACTGATGCTGAGTGAAGTGAGCAGAACCAGGAGAATGTTGTACACAGTACCAGACACATTGTGTGATGGCTAACTTTGACACACTTAGCCCTTCTCAGCAATGCAAGGATCTAAGACATCTCCAAAAGTCTTATGATGGAAAATGCTATCCACATCCAAAGAAAGAACTATGGAATTTGAATGCAGATCGAAGCATACTATTTGCTATTTTTTTCCTTCTGTTCTGTTTTGTTTCCTCTTCCTTGTGGTTCCTCCTATTGGTTCTAATTCTTCCTTACAACCTAACTAAAGTGAAAATATGTTTAATAGGAATGTACATGTAAAGCCTATGTCAGATTGCATGCCGTTTTGGGGAGAGAGGGGGAGAAAAATTTTAAACTCAAAAGCTTATGGAAGTGATTGTTGATAAATCAAAATAAATTAATAAAAAATTTTTTAAAAAAAGAAAAATTGGGACACTAACACACTGTTGGTGGAACTGTGAACTGATAACAACCATTTTAAAGAGCAATCTGGAATTATGACCAAAGAGTTACAAAACTGTGTATACCCTCTGACCTAGCAATATCACTATTGCTGTTTTCTGGTCTGTTTTCCAAGGTGATCAGGAAAAAAAGGAAAAGAACCTATATGTTCTAAAATATTTACAGCAGCTCTCTTTGTGGTAGCAAAGAACTGGAAATTGATGAGAAGTCCATCAACTGCAGAATGGCTAAACACGCTGTGGCATACAATTGTGATGGAATACTACTATGCTGTAAGAAATGATGAGCAGGTTGATTTTAGAAAAACATGGAAAGACTTGCATGAAATAATGAAAAGTGAAATGAGCAGCACCAAGAGAATGTTACACACAGTAAGAGCAATACTATTTGAAACAATACTATTCAAAAAATAACTGTGAACAACTAAGTTATTCTAAGTATTATAAACAGTCAAACCAACTTTGAAGGACCTATGAAGGAAGATGCTATCCACATCCAGAGAAAGAACTGATAAATAGAAGTATGTATAGTATGGTTTTACATATATTTATAAATCTTTGTCAAAGTGTGGGGTGAGGGGGGAGGGAGGGAGATAGTTTGGAACTTAAAATGTAACAAAAGTAAATAAAATTTAAATAAAAAAGAAAGAAATCCAATGATACACTATAATAAGTGACTTCTCCTACCTCAGAACTGCACAAGTCAACCAGAAACTCACAAGCACTAAGAAAAGGAGCCACCAATGCTAGCGCCTAACCAGCACAAACCAGATCACTGTCTCCCAACATGTCCCGGGACAAGGACCAGGACCTTGGAAACTATGGGATTCAACTAAGGGAATTAAAAAGAAATAAAAGTTCTGGAGGAAAGAACTGGAAGGACGCAAACTATCTGAGAAGATGGTGGCTGAGAATTAGATTTGGATATCTGGAACAAGGCTTAACATATAAAAATAACACTCCTTGTCAGAGATGGAGGGTACCTAACAAAGTCTGTCAGTGACATTATTTAAATAACTGAAACTGAATACTATAATAACCAAGCC